CAGAATCACCTAATCTATGAAGAGATGCCCTTCAATGATTTTTGCCTTTTTCTAATTTAAATATTATGCCTACTTTCTTCGCATTTTCTTTTTTCTTTTTTTTAAATTGCGTTTAACATTAGTGCATCCTTGAGGGAAGCCAGTTTTTATTTTCCATGAATATTTGTGTGCTTTTCAACAACCAGGACGCGGCTCAATCTGTTGCTACGTAAAGTATAATATTATTTAACAATGTTACTTGATTAAGTTTAACTATTTTCAATAAATTTTATTCATTAATATAAGATTTCATCTTAGTTCTACGATAACTTTGTACGAATCTCACGTATGTAATTTTTTTCAGTTTTCTAGAATTAATTGAATTCATCACAAAATTAGATTTTCACATTATAAACTGAATTCTTCTTTGAAGAAACGTCACTCACCGCATTTGAACAGAAGACATTCTTTGCTTCTTTTCTCCTTTACTGTTTTACACTGATACAAACTGAATTTTATTGTGAAAACTAATTAACACACCAAGAATTAAAAAAGTCTGAGTAATACAATATACGTGGAGATCTGCGAAGCAGTTATGAGTCCCAAGAATCATAACCCGTCGCACTAGTAGGATCCTTTCAAACATCTTCCGTAGTGGAACTAAAGGGACTGGAACAGTTCAGAAATTTTTCTGGATGAAACAAACGCGATCCACGCAAGATAGAAAAAACTAAAGTTCCGAATTCTTTTTAACCTATATGCGACTGTCCAGTACACTTTAATTCCTCTATCTATATACAAAAAGCAGAGTGTTTGCCTAGAGGCGGCGCCAGGATTTTTGCTTTAGGGGGGCTAAGCCCCCTCAAATTGTTTTCTGAGGGGGCTCAGCCCCCCTAAACCTTGTATTTTGTGAGAAAATCATCAGTTCTTTACGAGAATTTTCAAAAATCTGAGGGGGCTCGAATGATTTCTAGGGGGGCTCAGCCCACCCTTGGCGCCACCACTATGTCTGCCTGCCTGTTCGCTATGCACTCAATATCTATAATCTCTACGACCACCAAACTTTCCACGATTCTTCCCTAGGTCCCACGGCACACTGACAGGATGTCGATACACCTTTCGAGAAGTGACGGAAGAGGCTTCAGTGAAAAATCGTTCAGATACTCCCAGAATAAATAACATCACCTGAATTTGCACAATGCTTCCCAATGTCCCAGCGAGATTAATGAAGCGTTCGCATAGTTATGAGAAGTGAGCATGATCGACTTGAGTGAAATTTCACCAACACCGTTAGGCGAAGCCAGACTTTAAGTTGAATTTCACTGACACCCACAAGACGAGAAAGGCATATGGGTAAAACTTCATCCACACCCTCGCGACAAAAACGGCCAGGGGGGGAGTTTCACCCACACCAGTGAGAGAAAGACGGGGTTGAGTGGAATTTCTCTGTTACCCACAAGAGCAGGAATAGTGGCGGCGCCAAGGGTGGGCTGGCGGGGGCTGAGCCCCCCTAGAAATCATTCGAGCCCCCTCAGATTTTTTAAAATTCTCATAAGAAACTGATGATTTTCTCACAAAATACAAGGTTTAGGTGGGCTGAGTCCCCTCAGAAAAAAATTTGAGAAGGCTTAGCCCCCCTAAAGCAAAAATCCTGGCGCCGCCTCTAAGCAGGAAGGTGCTGGGCCGAACTTCTTTGATACCCACAAACACAGATAGGCGCTGCGTGGAATTTCACCCACATCCTCGAGAGGACGACGGGGTTGGGTGGAATTTGACTGATACTCCCAAGTGCAGAAATCCGCTGCTTGGAACTTCACTGATACCCACCACAGCAGTGGAGCGCTGGGTCGAATTTCACCCACACCCTCGAGAGAAAGACGTGCCTGACTGTAATTTGACTGATAACCACAAGAACAGGAAGGCGCTTGGTACAATTTCATCGGTCAAGAAAAGCGAGTTTCACGAAGAGCTAGCTTCAAATTGTCGTTTTTGAGATGCCAGCAGTTTACCGAACACTATTATGTGTCTATGTGAAAGTGCCTAACATTTTGTCAAACCCTTTCGAAATTTTAGAATTAGGCAATCTGACACCTTCAATACTAACTGCGATCAGCACTTATTTAATTAGCAGCGATCAGGAAGTAGTATTCCGAGAACAGAACAGTATTACTCAGAACCCGGAAGCAGTATTCCCGGAACAGAACAAAAGCACTCACAATCCCGAAGCAGTATTCCTAAAACAGAACAATATTACTCAGAACCCGGAAGCAGCATTCCCAGAATAGAACAGTTGTGTTCTGTTTTCGGAATAGCACTTCCAGGCATTGAGGCAGGTCAGTATTTGTTCGAGGGTGACTTTTTACAAAGATGTACATCACATATTGTAAAACATAGATCGAAAACTTTCGGGTAAAGTATGAATGAAAACGCCAGCTCTAAACTTGGAGTTTACGCGTGAAGCTCACTTTTTTTGACCAATTTCACCCATAACCTCGAGAGAAAGAGGAGCATGAGCATAACTTGAGTGATACCCTCAAGAGCAGGAAGGCGCTGGGTGAAATTTCACCTACACCCTCGAGAGAAGGACAAGCTTGGGTGGAATTTCACCCACAAGAGCAGGAAGCCGCTGGGTGAAGTTTCACCCATACCCTCCACAGGAAGACCTGCTTCACTGTACTTTGACTGATACCCATAAGAGCAGGAAGGCAGTGGGTGGATTTTCACCCACAGCCACACGAGGAGGAAAGCCCGGGTGGAATTTCATTGATACCGACAAGACCAGGAAGGGGCTGGGTGGAATTTCACCCACACCCACAACAGGAGGAAGGCGTTGGGTGGAATTTCACGATGGAATTTTACGCACAGCCACAAGAGCAGGAAGGCGCTGGGTGGAATTTCATTGATACCGACAAGAGCAGGAAGGCCCTGAGTTGAATTTCACTGGTACCCATAAGAGCAGGAAGGCGCTGGGTGGAATTTCATCCACACGCACAAGAGGAAAAAAGCCCTGGTAGAATTTCACCTACACCCTCTAGAGGAAGATGGGCTTGAGTGCATTTTTAATCAAACTTTCGAGATGCAGACTGGCTTCGGTGGAGTTTTACTCACACCCTCTATAGCAACAAGGTCCTTCGTGGAATTTCTCCTGCACCGACACCCTGGCGGATGTCTGCAGATAATCCATCGAAAGAAATATCCAATGAAAAGTTACATATCTTATTCAAGTAGATGATGAGAAATTTCAAGTGTATCAGTAAGCTGTTGATCTCTGAATAACAACTTGGGGTTCTTAGTTATCATTACGAAAAAGAATTAGTTGATGAGGTCATAAAATAGTGAATGTATGATATTTGTTCTGCTTGTATGACTTTTAGAACACGCTTTGTTAAAAATCTAAGAAAACGGAAATTTTGTATTTCGGTTCAAAATGATAAGTTTCTGCATTATTTGTGGATTTAGTCCATATGAATGAAAACTTACTGTTGTTTCCTATAAAATAAAAGATATTTAATTGAGCTCTGAATAGTAACACAAATATCTAAATTTTTTAGGTGATCATGACTTTTGGAACGTTCAATACCTCACGACACTGAACTATACAATCTAAGAGATTTATTTAGGAATCATAATATATGAAAATTAAAGTCTTTGTTGCTCTTTATTGAAATCATCTTCCGTGCATCTGGGGAAAGTAGTTGTAATGATTAATTAGGATACAATATAGCTATAGACATCAGTTGAATAGATTTCTTGAAGTTCACCAGTAAATATTATTCAAGCTAAAACTCATTCGTATGATTTTAGTGGGATCGACATTCTCTGATGGAATTTTATAGTAAGACAACTCAAATTGATCCTTTGTTAGATTATAATAAAAAAGTAAAAATTCTTTACATGTAAATTCACCATCATATTTTGATCAAGCGCAACACATACTACATTCTTTCGGATTATAGCAAAATAAAGATTTCTTGTAGGACTACACCTAATCTAGACTCTTCTAAAGGATTAAATAGATCAAAATGTATTTTATCTTTCGGAAGAATGTTCTTTATGATGTAAATGTACAGTTAGTTGAATACTGAGTTTCGTGTGCGTTAAACTGTAATAGATCTTAATGGAAGAAAAAAGAGAATTTTAGCAACAGAAATAAGCATAATACTATGTTCACATTCTTTTGTTGGAAGAATGAATAGACAACATTATATTATCGATTCTTCTGTTTTATATTCTACTAGCAAACTTTACAATTCAGACCACTATCAAATGTTTACTGATGTATATATTAGTGATTGCAACAACTGACACTCACTTATAATCGAATGTACTTTACTTTTTTTTATTTTTGTTTTTAGATAGTTTGTCTTAGGCTTAACGTCAATTTATTGGCGTCGTTCAAAAACTAAATTTTATTGATACAAGTCAATATTTCAACTTAGAAATTAAGTAAGCACAATGAATGAATAAATATTATAAACTAAACATGATAACTAAGAGAGAGTCTATCCAAACGCTGTTCATCATCTTCCAGGAAATAGTTTTAATTGCACTTATCATTGTCTCAAATTGAAAGCTATAAAATTCTAGTCAAAATTCAAACATTTATTGATTGAGTATTATCTAAACGAATCAGAACTGAAAAAAACCATCGACTACACTAATTCAATTAGAAAGTTATGTAGTTGAGGAAACATCATAGATTTTTAAAAATCTCTGAGTACGGACTTGTTTTCAAGTTAATATCAAAATATTGAAAACATTCATCTCTATGACTTTATTTGAAGCATTTGTCCTGAACAATCACAGTAAGAAAAAAGCTTCTAAACTAGTGTATAATCTAATAGAGTGATATACAATAGTGGATAGAGTCATTCTCCCTAATAACGACGCAAAATAAATACATCATCTTGTTTTAAAGCAAGATGTTGTATTTATTTTGCGTCGTTATTAGGGAGAATGACTCTACTTCGTTGATTACGTTGAAAGTGATTAATGTTTGACTATATATTGTAGCTCTTGCAATGCATTTGAAAGCTGGAGTTAAATGGGTTTATGAAGCAATACGGAATTACAACGTTTTCCTAAATGAAGACGATGATGAAAACGGTGAATCAAACGATCGAGCAAAAGTTATCAAACATCAAAGATATGCTACTCGATTGTATCTTACTCTATTCATCGGTATGTAAACAAACTTACTGATTTAAATAATGGAAAGCATGGATCTATAAATGAATTGTCAATCAAACTTTGAAAGAGTATAATGATCATTTTAATAAATTTAAGTCTTCGAATCAACACCATCGATAGAATTCAGGATGATTAAATTTTCAGACGAGGTTTTGATTAAAAATGCTTTCTGTGATCACTACAATAAAATCGTGATGAATCAATTTTCATTTTATTCGAGAGTCATAGACAAATATTTTCTGAAAAAAATAAATACTTCGAACATAATGCAGTGAGTATCAATTCTATTTCCGAACAATATCTCAACTGAAAATTTGATCATCATCAATGTTCCAAGTGGTATCACTTTAAAGACTTCAAATTTAGAAAAGAAATCATCAAGGCAATATTAAGGTTTACTTATTCCAACGAAAAAGTGCTTTTACCCATACAGAAGTTCTCGCATTGTTAGTAAAAATATAAGAGCTATACGCTATAAAAAAAAGTATATCAGTCGGATTTTATTCTCATCGGTACAACATGAAATTCTTGGTTGAGAAAATTCTACGAGATTTTCCAAAAGTTCGCCGAGTATAGTAAAATATATAATAACTCCATATGATTTCTTTATTAAAAATTCGTCATATCCGATTCGACTCAATGATTTTGAGCTCATCATGTCATAGAAACGTTCTTCAAAATTGTTTGAAGACATGACGTCTTTTGAGTGATATATGTTAGTTTTCAAGGATAGCGAAATAATCCATATCGAAAACAATTAGAAAATAACTATCTTTGTATATGATTAGTACAGAAGTGAAAATGTGATTAAATTCTCTAAAACAAGACTGATCTTCCTAATATGTAGTAGCTTTCGTTTTTCATTTTGTCTTTTAATAGTCATGACTTGGTTTAATGTCATTCAATGATGGTATTGAGAAAAATATATTCTTCTTACAATCATATACAGCACTAGTAAAATGTAGAATTCATTCATGAAAAGATAAAATAAAATTATAAATTAATCATAGATGAAAGAAAGAAGACATAATCTGTCAGCGACTATCGATTGTATTTATATGTATAATTTGATGATATTGTTACCTCTCATCTTTCATTAAAGTAAACATTTCCTCTCACTTAAGCATATATAAACTCAAACTTTTTATAATGAACTTTTCATGATAATAAGTAATGTAAAATAGAACTAAAATAGTATCTAAATCTTTTTATTCATCATTTTTGTGTTTTAGTGTCATTTTACGTTCTCATTATTACCACGATAACTAATCCGCAAAGTATAGCAGTCACCGTTTCAAATATTACTCCAGAACTTTTCGAACAACTTCGTTCGGATTATGGTCTAGCACTATCATGTCCTTGTTCAACAATCAGTATACCTTATAAGGCTTTTATTTCCAATGAAGTCTCATTTGATCCTGTTTGTACAAGCATTTTCACTAGTCGTCAATGGATTGAAGCCTTATACTTGCCCAATGCAAGTGCATATTTATTGATTGATTTTCGATCGACTGCAAACTCTCAAGTGAGTAAAGATTTTTTGTAAAAAGATATTTCGAAATTCAAAAATGTGACATGAGAAGTCTTTGTTTGAATTGAATACAATAAAATCATTCAAATATGATATTCATCAGCATATACATCGTCTATATGTTCATCAATGATTTAATAATTGAAGGTTGTCCAGACGAAATAGCGTCTCTTACGAATTTTTCTTGCAGATATTGATGTCGAATTTTTATTAGTATATCTATTAAGGATAATCTTTTCGGATAGATGATCGACGAAATATAAGAACTAGATTGTTTTAAAGGACATAAAATCCCAAGGAATCGCTGTGATTGTTATTATCTAGACATTAAGTCTGAAATTGTTTTAATAAAAGGCACTGGAGATTTTGTCACATTGTTAACAATAAAAAGAACTTTTGCAGCGAAAAATGAATGTCTAGATTGATAAGTTAAATTTTTAGCGTGCAACAAGAAGCACTCGAAGTATTAAAGAATAAGTTTATAATAGAACCAATATATAGTTATAGTAGTTACTTTTATACATTCAAATATGTAATTATCGAAGGAGTATTTAACTTTTGAGTTATTAAAATAATGATCTTGTACAAAATGCTTAGTAATTTTTTGTTTTAATTAATTTTCTTACCCAACAAATAGCTTCGCTTAAAATTCTTTTTATTAATCAAAATATCGTTCATTCTCTCCTCTATTTATTGTGACTATTATTGACTTTTTTGAATACTTCAGAAAAATACAAAGTTAACATGATTAATCTTATGACTAACTTTTACTGAAAAACACTTTTATTTATCGATAATGTGTCAATATCCGTAATATTTATATCTCAAACGAGTTTAAGAATTAGAATGTAGACACTAAAAGTCATGATAGTTTTCTTTACATTTCCTATTTTATAGAATACTTCTTTGTTGTCGATTTTTGATTTGAAGAAGTATTACCCTAG